AAATGAATACATATTATTTGCATACTTATTTTTTGTCAAGCTATTTTGACACAAAAAAAGCTGAATAAAAAAAAACCAGATTTATAGATAGGTAAATTTTTGTTTATAAACAAAATATTATCATCATTACTTATAAGATTTAAAGTAGTCATATTTATGTAATAGCTGATTCTAGAGTTAATTTATGATTAAGAGATGATGATTATAAAATTTTTCACTGCAAATTTTTTTGTATTATAAAATACTATATATACATATTACTATAATAACAGTTATTGCAAAAAATAATCAAAGAATTATTTAATATCAAATACATTTTTAGATAAAGAATTATTTTACTTGTATATAAGAATATTTTTGAATTACAATTACAGGAATGAACTTGAAAGACAATTTCTAGAAATGCTACAGTTCAATATAAATGTTCCTGCAAGTGTTTATGCAAAGTATTATTTTGATTTAAGGACGTTAGCAGATCAAAATGATTTAACATTTCCTTCACAACCATTGAGCAAGGATAGAGCTCAGAAATTAGAAGTAAGTAAAACTAAGTTATGATGATAAATGTTAAATTTATATCATGTACTGGATCTGTTCCAGGAAAAATAATGTTTAAAATTCAGCAAGAAAATTTTATATACAGTGGGTGATAGGCTAATGAACATTTTCACAAAAGATTTTTATTATCGGACAATGAACACATGTTCGGATAACAAACACTTCACTGAACAAACATAAAAAGAAGTGACGAAAATAGCAAATACCCATTGATTTTTCTCTTGTCTTCAGGCAACAATTCAACATTTTTCAGAGTGCTGAAGACGTCGACATTGATGCTCAGCTCGGAATATACTGATCAGATAGTATTCCTCCGAACTTTGAAACTCTCCCTTGTAATTTCAGCCTTTTATTTTTCTGACAGAAACAATTCTTTTATAGTATTTGCGAAACTGTCGGGCGGGCACTCGTTAAGTTTTGCGTCAAGTTTTATTTTCAAAAGGTAAAATAGCAAAGATAGAGAGTGGGCAGATGTCTGATGTTGCTAGGCAGTATGGCTTGAACAAATCTACAGTAAGGCAAAGTTCAATCTTATCTAAGACAGATACAGTCTAATCAAGAAGACTCAAGCAGCTAAAGGAGTAACAAAAATCACTTCTGAGAAATAAAGAACATTGAAGACGGGACATTCCAATATTCAACGCGNCCTAATTTATATATAATTTATATAATACTGTCCAGACGATAGAAATCTCTCCGTAGCGTGGCGCTACGGACAGCGGGAAAGTAGTTTGGCTGCCCAATGACGTTTTACATAATTATAGGAGGTTTTTACATTTTTTTACGGATACCGTCACAATTTTTTCGTACTTTTATAGGAATCGTAATTATAGGGGGGTCGACTATATTCTTATTTTATATTTTTCACATAATTAATTTTTTGTTTTATTTTAATTTATTTTATTTAATGTTATTCCGTAAGTTATTTGATTTTTTGAATTTATATTCTATTTTGGAATACTTTACTTCTAATTTCATTCACAACCTGATGATGGCCTGTATATCAGGCTGAAAGCATTTGTTTTTATGAAATAAATATTTCCTTGGCAAGGATAAGGTGTTATTTGTATGTTATGTTTTGTGGTTTGCTGAGTACTTTCTAATATATACATAAAAATCAACTTAAAGGAAACTTCCAGAATATCAGTTTTAGTATACGGTACATAAATTCACAACTTAGTATACAAATGCCAACTCAGACACAATGTCATGTCAGCACTGATTGGCTAGTGTCTATCATATGATTATTCGTCAAGGTATTATCATCACTTTGCTCAACATATGATAGCAGTATTCATATTGATCAGTCAATATATCATAAATTATAATAAAGAATATGAAATTTATTACAGTACCCAATTTTGTCTGTAATTATTTATAATAGCAAGACATTATTTATAATGCCCATATTAATCAATTAGTCCATAACTCATATATGAAAGAATTGTTAAATTATAATAAATTTTATTATCCAATTTTTTCCATATTGTCTAAGTCTAGAATATATCATAGATCAATTTTTCTAATAAAGTATAGTTCAAATGAACTTTCTTGCCATATATCTTGCTAAAATATTTTAATTAATGAAATTCTAATTTTATAGCTGTTAGAGGAAAGACCATTGAAAAAATCAAGTTCCTGTTCGACAATTTATCTTGATGATAGTACTGTTAGTCAACCTAACTTAAAAAATACCATTAAATGTGTAACATTGGCAATATACTACCATATCCGTAACAGAACTTCCACTCGTACTTTAGATATATTTGATGAAAAACTTCATCCATTATCGGTTAGAATTTTACTTTTCTCATTTATTATTATTTTTCTCGTTAAACTGTGAAGTCAACGTCGAAAAATTTTTGGAGTAACCTGACATATGTGCATTTGTATCAAATTATATTTGATGAAACGGTCTCACCGTTTGCAAACATGAAAAGCATGTATAAAAAATTATTTGCGTACAACATTAAAGCAGGAGAAACTGTCTGATTTAAGCGTTATTTTTATTGATGAAGATAAATTGCTGAAATATGACGATAGCAGTTTGCGGCTGAGAAGAGTCGAAGAAGTTGTAATATGCATGATAAACTATATAATAAACTGTATGTCAATGATAGATAAGTTGATTTCTTTCTTCAAAGAAAGTCAGACACTTTTCTCTGACTTTCTATTTTATTTTATTATTTTTTTTTTTTTTACTTGCAAGGGGTTCCGAAAAATTTAAATTGCTTGGGTCTCTTTAAAGGTAAAACCGGCTGACAGTGCTAGTAAACGCATTAGTTGTACGAACTTCAGATTCAAATTTTGAAATACCAGGGCCGGATTAAGACTTTTAGAGGCCCTAATCACTTAAAAGATTTTGGTGTTCCCATATACTGTATATGTAATTCAGAATATAAACAATAATAAAGCATAAAATACATTTTTGATACATTTAAAAATAGAAAAAGTAGCCAGATTGCGCCCGAAGTTTTCATCTGTAAAACGTGAACGTCGAACGTCGAGCGCCGCTTACTTGTAAGCGGCGCTCGACGTTCGACGTTTACGTTTTACAGATGAAAACTTCGGCCGCAACCTCTCTATT